ACTTAAACAAACAATGTATTAATTAGTGAGCTTTAGTAGGCGGATTTTGTTACCACTGGGCAGAAATCAGGTTGGCTGTTTCTCCCCGCTTCCAGTCTTTATCCCCTTGACGCCTGAATTTATTTACAATAAAAACATTTCACAAATGATTTCTGCTTTCATTTGCTTTCAAGCTGATGTTAAATTAAGGGGCAATTGTTAATTTGTAGAACATAGAAAATAAATAAATTGAGGTATAATGTAGGTATGATGCAAATTAGCGACAACAGGCATAAATGAGAAACCAGTGCTTGCAAAAGGTTCCCTGGTACGTATCGAAAATGCACGAACAGGCATTGGGGGAACACATACGCTATCTTAGCTGCAGTCTGAAAGGAAGAGGTGTGATGCAAATTGGCAACAATCTGTGTTAAGGGGTTATGCTAAGCTAATCTAACTGTCTCTTGGCAGTAGCTTCATATTTAGCGGACATGAGAGTCAACCTTCTCAGTGGTCTTTAAAGTGTCAACGAATCACTACCATTTCCACAGCCAATATATTTTTATCATCAGTTAAGTTGGTTGGTAAAATATGTGTGCACAAAGTGCAGTTTTGTACTTTTTTATGCATTACTGTTGTGTAAGGATTTCCTGTGACTCTAATGCCAATTTGAGTACTTTGTTACTTCTTCATTTTAAACAAATCCTTTTTAAATGGGGGGCACATTATATATTTACTCATCAAGGCCTGAGCATAGGGGAGGTATTATGTACAATGCATTGCTCTGGTTTGGGGTGAGTCATCGCCACGGCTCGATATCAGCTTTCTCAGGGTGTGATATGTCTCCTTGTTCATTAGGGGGGCTCCACTTAGACCTGCAATCCTCAGAGATTCTTCTGATGTCAGATCTGAGAGGATTATCCAGGTATCAGTAAGACCGGCGGAGGAGGATGAGACCTAAAAAAAACACTGATCAGTGAGCACTGGTGGTAAGAGACGCTGTCCTATAACCGAACAAATTGGGTCCGATGGGTCTACGCTGCTATGTGAGTGAAGACCCACCATGTTGAAGTCGCCTTGAGCAAGATGTCAAATTCCTGGGAGCTCGAGGGACACTGTTCTGTCATTTTCCCTGCTGGCTGACTTCACAAGACGGAAGGCACACGAAAAGTGATTTTGCAGTGGTATGCAGGGTTTTCACCAAAGGAGTAGTTGGTCATTTGTACATACATTAATGCTGAAACTATTAGTTGAATCAAATAGTTGATTAGAAAGTATTTTGACAATTACTTTGGTTATTTCTTTTTTCATTTCATTATTTAGCAAGCTTAAATGCCTGCTTCTCAAGCAGTAACATATGCTGCTTTTTTCTGTGTCATGTATTTGTAAAATTAATATTTTTGTGTTTTGGATTGTTGGTTGGATAAAACGATCTGAGGACATCCTCTTTGGCTCTAAGGAATTTGTGATGTGCAGCATTGTACTCTTATGATGACATATTATGGACTAAAATATTAATATTCAAATTTTAAACAGCTAAACAAGTTAAGTGATGATGGAAATAACCATTAGTTGCAACCATCTCGGCGCTGTGTTTGTGTATTTATACTGAATTTGTACTGCTATTCCCATTCTACTCTCTATGATATGTGTCGGATGTAACTCTTTCCAAACTTCTACGTCTAAATCTTCCTCACTAGTGCTTCTCTAGCTGTGCAAATCTTTCTATAGGACAGGCTAAATTACTTTATGGAATGAAGCCACAGGGAGAGCCCTGCTTGGACACGCACCGTGTCCGCAAAGCTTCAAGGTGTCCTCTCCACACCATTACCTTGGTCGACACTCTTGCAGTGACTAAGTGGAAGTTTGAGTGAAAGTGACATTTTATTAGTGGGAGAATCTAAAGGGCCCTTGTCTGAACAAACTGACTAAACACGTTTTTATACAGCTGCTCCTTTCACAGGACGTATACACCTAAATAACGATGAAATATTGTTCATACGTCAGAAGCTCAAAGAGGGTGTATCCATCCTGTTTCCACAAGACAAGCTCTCAGAATAAAAAATGATAGAAACAATAAGAGAAAACATCAAATCTAAACACTTAAAATGAGACATACACTGACTTCTCTGAGGCTCCTGCTGTATGATTACAGCAACTTCATTCAAGACAAAACATTGCCCTGATTCTCTGTGATGGTCAACTGTAACTGCTGTCTCTATTGACTCTTCTCTCCAGTGCTGAGTGGGTGAATACAGTGTCAGCCTCTGCAGCTGCATGGGCCACTGTGTTTGGGGGGGAGGCAGTCTTCGCCAAAGTAATCCTTTGGCAAAGACTGGTGTCCCAGACGCTAGCGCAGTGATGATCCACACACACAGGGGGTGGGCGATGTTGTGTACTTTGGGTCACCAGACACTGACATTGTCCTTGCAGTGACAACTGTACTTACTGTTTGTCTTCCATTTGTATGGAATATTCACATCTTAAACAGTAATGCAATTGTGGTTATTCCAATTTAAGAGGCTGATACTGAATGTAGTTTTAGCTCTCAACACTGGCATGGCTAATCTGCCAAGCTGCTGTGTTGTTTATTCAGGTGTGTCAAAGACCCAGTGTGACATTAGCACATCCACCTATGTGTGAATTAAATCATCCATAGGAGGGTTGAATTCAGCAAGGTTCCATTAAAAATGTGCTATGGCCAGTTAATTAGTGCAGACAGGTGTGACTGGGGCCTCATTTGTGAGGTTGTAGTTGAAAGGTGAATGATAGTGGGGTTTTTTCTGAATCATTCAGTCAAGCATTCTTCATGTTCGTAAAACTCACCATGTGTGGGAGTGAACAATGACTCTTCCCAAGCCCACACAACGTGACCACAAATAGCCTGCTTACATAAAAATCAAACCATGCATTTGCACTGAAGGTATAATGTTAATTCAAGACCTGTTTACAGCAAACACAACAAGAGCCACATGAAGTGTATTTGCAGGAGTCTATCAGAGAAGTGCAGACCGTGACTGCTCTCTGGTGTTCTCTTATTAATGAAAGATCAATTCATTATTCCATATGCAGAGGGATGACTAACAGAAGGAGATGAACAAGGGCTCCATGTTACAAAGCACACCTGCAGGATCCACGGGGTGACAAGCCAATCTCTTGTGAGCGCGTGGCTGTGCTGAATTGGGGGTATTTCCACCTATAGCCTATGTCACGTGCAATGCCGGTCATTGATCACAATAGTGATCAGTTCAGTATGGAGAAGAGGGAAGGGCGGTGTGGGTGACAGAGCTGGCATTATGTTGGGTCAGAGCTATAGGCTTCATACAAAAAGATATGAGTCTTTTCAAAATACAACACACCAAAACCTAACGGTGGGGGAAAAAACGTGTCTTCTGAATAACGAGGCTTTAATGGTGGCTTAGGTAAGACAACAAATACATTCAGCCTGGCATCATGGACCACAAATGCAAGCGGATTTTTGTGACGATAAATATACGCGCTGAACTGGGAGGTTGGCATCATGCAGAAGGCAATATACTGTAAATATTGCACGCGTTATTGTCATACTAAACGGCCTACACGCTAATTCCTAAATACTACTTACAGCCGTAACAGTCCAGCTACAGGCGTCTTTATAAGGCGCAAATCTGGAGGGGCAAGCAGCCATTCATAGACGCTGATATGGCACATTAATTTTCAATTTGCAGCTCCAGTGTTAGTCTGTATTTTACGTCCAAGGTTGGAAGTATAGGCTTCGCGCTAATTATCCTTTGGCTTTCTGATATCCCACTGGGCAAGCAAGGATGCCTTTTGGAAACCGCTGCATCCCCAAAGAAACGGCAACATAAAAATACTCTTGCTTATATTATAGCAAATGAATATCCAGACAATGACGCGAACTGTCTTACCTGTGCCGTGAGCCAAATCGATGCCCGGTTCGGTGAGTATATTCGGGTCACTTTGAGATCTGCCTCGTTGCAGACAGCCGTCTAGTCCATCCGATGTAGCCATTGGGGAGAGAGCACAGGAATCCTGAATAAAATATTGAAAACCCAACCAGTGGCAGGCAAGGTCAGGAGGAAATGCAGCGAGCGAGTGCAGATTTAATTCGCTCTGACAACAGCCGCTTTGAGCATCTACCAGGGAGCCATGGTTGAGCAGAAATTCCGTGTGTGTGTGTGTGTGTGTGTGTGTGTGTGTGTGTGTGTGTGTGTGTGTGCGTGCGGGCGCGTGTGCGTGCGTGTGTCTGGGCTGTGCGCGCGATGCTGTGTGGTTGTGGGAGGGGTAATATGCCCCCGATGATGCCCGTCCCTGTCCACCAGTACGACAAAATATTCAACACACTATGCATGCTGCACAAACTGATACATTTTTGAAGCTTACACTGAATATTTATGTCGGTCTGTTTCTTTACCAGTATCCAGTTATGCTCCCCCTTGCATCGTTTATTTTAGGTCTATAAGCTTTATTTTTGTATTAAGCAGGAAACGCAATGAATGCAGATTAAATCCATCAAGCACTTTAATAGGCTAGTTTAATTAAGAATGTATCACATTGCCTGTAACTGGTTAATTTGTCGGAATGCAACAATGGATAACCTACATTGATCTAATGGTGATGTGGGCAATATTTGCTGTTATAAAGTTGTTTTGATCAGTGATATTTATGTTTTTATCGTGCTGTGTAATTAGAAGAATGCACACATCAGTTCATTTCATTAAAAAACACTATGATATTAAGTTATTACGTCAAAAGCATATAACCCCAAATCAGAATTGCAAGAAATGCATGAAAAGCACCATTAAGACCTATGCTACCATCCACATTAAAATTACTTATTAAAATACCATTCTTTTTAATATAATTTCTTAGAATAAAGCAAATAATGATTCCATATTAGCATTTACTCGTGAAATATCTTTAAAATGTAATCATTTCGCTTAATACAAAGCAGGTTCATGTCAGTGCCAAAGAATCCATGTTGGAGCAGCCTATTGGCTGGTTCCACGGATGACGCGTCATTGCGGAAGTGAACCATCGCCGTTGAAGAAAAATGGCATCTCAGAGGTGTAGCTACTCGGCTGTGCTGCTCATAATATGTAGTTTGTCTGTGTTTATTGTCGCAGACTGTCAAGAAACGACTGTGTCTGGTGATCATCATGCCACTGCGGTCGATAATCCACAAACAGCCACCGAAACAGCGGAACAGACGGCCGAGCAGCCCGCGGTGGAGGAGAGACGGTGGGAAGCAACTGAGGTTGAAGAGGCAACTCCGGATGAATTTTCAACCGACAAACAGGACACTTCTTCCCCCGAAACCGTGGTCCCCCCGTCAGTACCGCAGCCTAAAGACGATTTTCAGGAGGAATTGGTCATCAGACCGCTGCACTCAGGCGATATTTATGCCAGCTTCCAGTTCCGCACCCTGTGGGAAACTGATTTCATGAGAGGAAAGAAAGGTAAGCTAACTGGTTAACAGTGATTAAACATGCCATTCTTTAGAGTCTAAAATGTCCTAGACGTGTTAATTTTTCTTATGGTAATAGAAAGCATCTGGAAATGCATACCGTCCATTCAAATATTGGCTATCATAGTGACCGAGGAAGTTGTGAAGAAGTGATAACATGTCCAAATGTATCATACATATTTTGGGTGTTACCTTCAATATCCAGATTTCTAAGTGACTTCTTGATGCACTGGCAATCAGAAAGTAAAACAGCGTAGAGATGACTTTCTGAAAATATTTACTTGCAAGTACCTTGTTCTTTACAACATGGAGTATCTGTTCCTGTATAATTAAGCCCCACAGTTTCTGATGATTGCTTTAAATGAAAATAGACATTTTTGGAAAATAAAAGTGAGGACACACAAGTAGTTTATTCATTCAGGCTTTTTTTTATCTTAACCACAACCGCAGCCTCACACTAGTCTAGCACTGATAAACTGTGAAAGAAGATTAACAGGCTTGATACACATCCCATAAATACCTAGTTTTTTCTATTGTTAAGTCATATACACATTGTTTGACAATGCTTGGGCTCACTCTAACCCTAAACTGTGTATTGTTATATTGTGTTTTTCAGTGTCCCACTACCGGTTATTTCCCAAGTCTCTGGGCCAGGTCATCTCCAAGTTCTCAGTGCGAGAGCTGCACATCTCCTTCACGCAGGGCTACTGGAGGACCATGCAGTGGGGGCAGCCCTTCCTGCCGTCCCCTCCCGGTGCTGAACTCTGGGTCTGGTTCCAGGACTCTGTGACAGAGTGAGTACAGCCCTCTGGTGGCTGCAGAGCATAAGAGGTGAAATAAGTGCTCTGTTTTTGTGGATTAAAACAAATTCTGTTTTCCCTAATCCTTTGGGTTTACTGGCCAGATATCAACAATGTTGACATCACTCAGTTATGTGCCAGATTGACAGCAGAAATATTTGAATTTTCTGTAACCGGTGTCAGTGGTGAACATCAGGGATTCGTGTTAGTCCTACAGAAAGATCAAAGCCTTTCTAGACAGACCATTTTTCATCATCATACAAAGAAAAACATCTAAGCAGACATACAGACTTCTCCACTGACAGTAGCCTAAAAATACATGGTCTGCAGTGTTCATGAACTAGCTTATCTTTTTATGTGCCCATGGTGTGTACCTCTGACTGAAAGCAAGTTCTCTGGAGGTTGGTAAAAGTCATAGTAACTGGAAAACTGAAAAATAATTAACTTACTCAGTACACATTAGAGGCAGAGTACTGAGTAAAGAACAGCAAGAATCTAAAGGTGAATCCCTTAATCACAGGGAGAATAACACAAGACAAAACTTATTTCTCTGCCTGGTAGACTTTTTTATAAACCAGGGGCATGTGCAGAAAGTCATTTTTATTGTGCAATTCAATTATTGGCTGGAGAAACATTCACAGTGTCTGTTGAGTTTTGGAAATCACCATTAGGTCTGGCACAGGGAAATGTTAATTAACTATTCTATATGTAGGAAGTATTTTTCATCAGTTATTGAAATGGGAAAATAAATTAAAATAATATAAAATATATAGCACATTAGCATTCTGAACATAAACTGCAAGAACCCTAAAGAATATAGTGAAGATGAAGGTTGATGTTTATAATTAATATTTGACAGGAACAAAGCTGAGTGAAAATGACAACATGAATTTTCATTGACACGATTTTGAAGGTGAAAAATGTAAAATGTTCTGCCCTTTTTAGTGTGGATGGCACATGGAAGGAACTGACGAATGTTTTGTCTGGGATCTTCTGCGCTTCACTGAACTTCATTGACTCCACCAACACTGTTCAGCCCAGTGCGTCATTCAAACCGCTGGGTATAGGCAACGGTACAGAGAGGGTCTTTTAATCTCCCTTTCCATTTTGTAAAGCTCTCTAGTGATGAGGCTGTATAAAAACCTGTATTATAGTGTAATTAGACACCTTAAACTCTTACAACCTGTGCTGCTGCAGATTCTGCACATTCCATTACATACAGACTGAATCTGTTTTTTGTGTTGAACTTTAAGTGACGGACCACCGCTTCCTTCGCTATGCCACCCTCCCACGAGAGATTGTTTGCACTGAGAATTTGACACCCTGGAAGAAACTCCTGCCATGTGCATCCAAGGTGTGTGTGTGTGTCTCTTTCAAAAAGCACAGCAGAACACAAAATTCCATGTGTGCTTCTTTGTATGATGCCCATGACTGACATCCATGATCTTACGTGTCGGAACACCTCATATGAGGCAGAAATTCTCCGTCTGCAGCTAACTCAATTTCTTGGTCTGTTTCTTTATGTGGTCGTGTTGCACTTGCAGGCTGGTCTCGCTGTCCTGTTGAAGTCCGAGAAGCTCTTCCACAGCAGCTTTCATTCCCAGGCAGTGCACATCAGACCCGTGTGTCAGGACTGGAAGTGCAAAACCACATCCTGGGAGCTGAGACAGACGCTCAATGTGGTCTTTGACCTGCATACGTCTTCGCAGGGCAAACGAGGTGCGAAAAAGCACATTCTTATGTTCTTCCCACGTTTGTTCAGAGTTTCTGAGCTTTGTTGTGTTTGGAAGTAGAAGAAAACATGCCTTGCTGGCCTTAGTTAACTTAAGCTGTTTGTTTTTTCAGAGTGGTCTCTGTTTAAGATGTTCTCTCGGACCCTGACTGAATCTTGTCCGCTGGCCTCCTCCAGTAAAATCTACATCGACGTCACAGATAACCCTCAGGTCTGATTCCCACATTATATGCTGTCGTTCAGTCATTTCCCTTACTGCAAACTTCCCAGAAAGCAAAAGAGGATTAGTTTTATTGAAAAGAAAAGTCAGAAAAGCATCACGGTGGAGTTATTTTAATGGCAATTTGTGGAGCTGTTTATTTATGAGCTGGTCCCCGTTTTGTTGATCTTGTGCATAAGCACAAGGGATCCTTCAATGTGCAAACAAAGGCGGTGAAGAAGAAGTCTGCTCGCAAGTAAACATTTAAAATGAGAAAGGAAATGCATTCAGAACATTTGTTAGACCTCAGTGATATACACAATGTGTTATAGTGAGTACACTGTGTGTAAACATACCTTTTTTTTTGTATGGAGATGTGCAATAGTTTTGACTAAGAGAAATTGGATATCATTTTGCAGGGGGAGCAGTTTGAAGTGAGCCCGGCCACTCCCCTGCTGAGCCAGGCAGTGGTGCTGGGGGACAGACGAACCTTCTCTGTTTACGATCTGACCCAACAAATCACCTTTGGCACTGTGCGCTCCCTCAACCTGCTGATCCGCTGGAAATCCAGCGAGGGTAAGTGAGAACAGCAGAGCATAGCACACAGCTTTGTGGATGAGGCTTAACATACAATTACCTTGTTGTTAAAATGTGCTATACAAATAAACTTGCCTTGCCTTGCCTTACAGTAGTCTTAATTATTCAATGCAAAAAAGACTATAAGGGAATAAACAAAAATGTGTCAGCCGCATTTGTGTGCAGATTGTTCGTTTTCTCTCACGGTTGTATCTGCTGTTCTTCTTTTCTCAGAGTTGTCTGCCTTATAATCATCAAGACTAATTTTAAGTTTCCTTTGACATTATTCAATAATTGTGCAGGTTTTTGGCCAATGAATGTGCAGTCTATTCCTTTGCAAACTGTTCTCTGTTCTGGAACCGAAAGTCCTCAACATGCAGCATCTGAAGTCACTTTCAGATTGCAACATGTGTGACTGTTTTCACATAAAAACACACAAAATATTTTAGATCTTTGTATTTTGTACCAAAGCGACACTGATCCTATTTGTTCCTAGAGGTCAATAACAGATCATCCCACAAGGTTCACCATTAAACCTCTCTGTCTCAAACTCCCCGCCTGCAGGTAACATGCTGCGTCCCCTGCTCCACGCTGAGCGTTATGTGGCTGGTTACGGGCTGCAGACAGGAGAGATTCACACGCTGATGTACAACAACCACCCGTACAGGTCTTTCCCTGTGCTGCTGCTAGACTCTGTGCCTTGGTATCTTCGTCTCTACATCCACACGCTCACCGTCAAGAGCAAGGGAAAGGACAACAAGCCCAGTGAGTCACTGTAGAAAGCAGAGAAGGATGTGTGTGTTTGTGTGCACAAAATATTAATCAGGGCCCAAAATTAACAAATACAAAAGGAACAGTTTAACTATGAATGACACATCTAGTTGCTTTTCTAGATTATAGAAATTAGATCAGCTTTACACAGGACTTTTAGTGAAATGAGACAATGTAACATTTCTGTGTACAGGCAGTGAACACTTGCGTTAATTATTTTCATTAGTTACTTTAAGTAAATCCATCCATCTATCCATCCATCCATCCATCGTCAACAGCTTATCCTGCGTACAGGGTCTCGGGGACTTTAAGTAAATCAACCAGAGCTTTTTTATGTGATCCAAAAAGTTAGAGATATAACTTGTACTGTACATGTATATCAGGATTATATGCACAAGAGCACCTTTACTTCCCCCCCAAATCTTTTTAAAACATCATCAGGAGAAATGTCTTTCCAAAAATCTCCCACTCACACCAAGTTTGTTTTCAATGAAGTAACAGTGGAGAACAGAAGCATGGCTTTGTCCATTTACATTACATTTAGTCATATGGCTTTTATCATTGACGCTTTTATCTAAGGTGACTTACATTTGAGGAACAACATACAAGCGTCAGTGAAGTAAGGGAGTTACGAGTGAAAAGCAGCAAGTTTCTGCGCAAGATTTTAACATTTTAACTGCAACTAAAGGGTCAACAATTTCATTATAAGTTTGCCTTGCAGTTATTTTAACCAGTGACAAATGCTGCTTTGAAGACAAGAAGAGGCTGATTCTCAGTGTTTGCATTCAACATTGTATGGAAAGTGGAACTGCTCAGAGCACCTGTGAAAATAATAATTATTAAATTATAAATATTTATAATTTAATTATTGAAAATATTGAAATTTTTAGTAAAGAAAAATAATGTACTTCTACTAACATATATTATTTTGCTGACTTATTGATGAATGTGTTTTCATTGTTTATGATGTTACATGTGTTACAGTTTCCTTACAGGAATTATTGATTCATATAATTCCATGCAGATGCGTCTTTTCACCAGAAGGGGGAGAACATGAGTCATATTTTCAAGAAAGCTGTTGTAGAAGTCTTTTTTTTGGTGCTGGGTTTTTTTTCCAAAACATTGCATTTAGATTATATGAAATTATTAGTATGAGTGTTGGCACATTGTATCTTTCATATATCCCAGTTACTAAAACTACAATGGCTATGGATAAACATTAAAACAGTGTATCAGTGGTCACTCATGTTTTTCTTCCTCCACCAGGCTACATCCACTACCAGCCTTCTAAGGACCGTGTGAGGCCACACCTGCTGGAGATGCTGGTCCAGCTTCCTCCCAATTCCGTCACTGAGGTCACAGTGCAGTTTGAGAGGGCTCTGCTCAAGTGGACTGAATACACCCCTGATCCCAACCACGGATTCTATGTTGGGTACGCACATAGAGTTGCTGTTTCCAGAGGTTGCTGAAAGAAGGTGGTCCCTTCCACCCTCGTGTCCCTTCCAAAGTTTTAGGCGTTGTATGATTTTTGAGGGGTATAAGAGCGGATGGTTTGAAAAATGATGAACGGTTTTGTTTTATGGGTTTTGCATTTATTTTTAGGATTTTATTCTAAAATCTGTTTCTTCAACATTTAGGTCTTCAGTAATCAGCTCTCTTGTACCAAGCATTGTCGCCATGGATACGAACAGCACTCAAGACCGCCCACTTTTCAGCAGCTTGTAAGTATAGAGTTGTTTCTTTTCTGTGGGAAAAGCTTGTTGCTGCTACTTATTCATGTGTTGTTTGAGCTCCTGTAGAGAAACGCATTCGTTTGGAAAGTCAAATAAGCAGAATTCCTCCTCTCCCTGCAGCTTTCCCTGTAAAGAGGAGTCCAGCTACTTTGTGCGCGTATACACGGAGCCTCTGCTGGTCAACCTGCCAACTCCAGACTTCAGCATGCCTTATAATGTCATCTGTCTGACCTGCACTGTGGTGGCCGTGGGCTACGGCTCTCTCTACAACCTACTGACCCGGAGTTTCCAGATAGAAGAGCCCAGCCCAGGACTGGCCAAGCGGATAGCCAACATCATCCGCAAAATGAGGGGCGTGCCTCCACTCTGAGGCTGGCCACGAATGCCAACCACTACTCTTTAGAAAGGAAGTTTTCCTTTTTGGTGAAACCACTGGTAAACATGTGATATTCAGGGAAGCACAGAGTCGAGCACTGGTATGAATGTTTTTAAAACTTGAAGGTTTTCTTTTCAAATGGAAGAAGACAAATAATTATTTTGAGTATAAATGTATTCGGGATAATTTCCTGCCAGCTAAGGACAAGGAAATGTGAACAGTTTGTCTACTTGGAAGAATTTTGTCTAACAAGTAGAAAGAACCATACTTTTACTGTGCTGTATGCTGCAATGGCAACTGCATCAGAGTTTTTTGGTTTGACTGTTTTTGTTCTTTGAATGTTTGAAGCCATAACTCCACTACATCATAATATAGGCCACAGGGTCTCTGAAGAAGTTTGTTACTGTGAGGAAACAAACGATGCTTCTACAATGAGACTTGTGGCCTTACAAAGTTTCCGAGGTCAGATAAACAAAGGACGGTCACTTTGTTCTCACACTGTGTTCATGACCTGTTCTTTGCTATCTCCCTGCCAGGAACAATGTCATAAAATGACATTTTAGTCATACTTAGTCTCTCAAAATGTCAAAAACAACCTCAGTTATGATAGGATAACAAAAAACTCTGCCTTCATGCCCATCCATAAATTGACACCCTGTGAAAGAGTAACTATAGAACATCCTAAAGTATATCCTCTTTATTTAATAGTTCCTCATTCCTTTGGATTATCTGACACGCATTTTATAGTTGTTTTAATATATTTTACCACATGCTTGCAAAAATCATGGAACTACTTTTTCTATAGAAATGGAACAGCCCTCTTACCCAACTTTCATATGACACTCAGTTGTTGGATGCATGCTTGAATGTTAAATGTTTGCAGCTCACATCATAAGATCTCTTCATAAGAAATGCATTTATTGCATTTAGTTTGTCAGGTTGATAACTTATATACTCATCAGTTCAATGCAGTTTCAGTGTGTCTTATAGTGAATAGAAATATGGAAATGACCACACCAAAATACTACCATACATTTGTTTTATATATTTTTTACCAATAACAACAGTATCCCCTTGAATGCTGTCTGCCTAGTCTATTCTTCACTTGCTGTAAGAAAAAGTGTCTTGTGTGTTTGTATGCGTGTGTGTGTGCATATATATATAACTTAAAATGCCCTTTATTGCCTTTTCAATAAACATTTTACTTAAAGCACTTGCTATGAAAGAAGGTACACCGTTCTAAACTTCAGCAGAGCCGGACCTGTATTACTTCTCACCGAGTGTCCACATTTTTGTGTAAACAAACTTGGCCCCACTTCTGGCAGACTCGGAGAGAACGGACACAGACGTCTCTCTGTTTGGCCGGTCAGTAATTCTCACCCCTGCACGTTTGGCAACAGCATGGAACAAAAACAAAGGGAAAAGCAGCATTCCGCGTAAATGTTGTTCAGATCTGGTCAGCTGCAAACTGTTATCTCCAAGCAAGAAGACGAACAGACCCGGAGAACATAGCTTTGCTGGCTCAGCCTTCAGAGGCTGTTTTCAAGGATATGTGACTTTATTTAGCACATATGTTTGTGATTAGCTAGACAAGTACACTTTTTAGCAGCAGACGTTCTTGGACACCTCTTTAGATAGTGCTGTTTTCTGCCAGTAACCACTTTCCATTCTTGGTATATATCATCATTTGTTGTTGTTTTTTCAGTCAACCTCTTGCCTAAATAGCCCATTAAAAAAAAGAGACCTGTGAAACTCCAGACCAGCAAGGTGATGAATACATAACACATTTCTAGGTTCTACAAACATTTATTTGTTTAAATATGAAGAAATACAAATTGCACCATAGCTTCAAACTCAAAAAGTACAGTACTTTTCAAATTAGAATACATAGCAGATACTAGAATATACAGTATTACTACTCATACAAAAATACTGTTACTTGACCAAAATGTAAGGTTACTTGTAAACTCAAGTTGTAATACAAACATATTTAAGGTCTTTTGTAGCACCCTAGTGGCACCCTACCAACTATTTTTCTCCTGACTGTGTGACTACGCTGTGTGTGTCAATTGTGCTGCTATGTAGTTGAAAAGCTAGAAAAATTGATCATAATAACATTTCTCATCTCTCATTACATTTTCTGTGTTGGTGCATGAAAGAAAGCAAGCAAGTGCACGCGTGTGGCTGAGTCGCTGGCTATCCAATCAGCAGGGCTCGCTGCAGGCATGGCCGCAGGTTGTCTTGCAGCACTTCTGTTCTCCTGGACACTGACCATCATGATAGCAGTACTCCGCACACATGGGGGTCCCGGTGGGCAGAGGACAGCGGCCCCGCTTCACTAACACACAAAAACATAATTAGTTAAAGATGTCCGATTATAAAGAAAATGTCAAATGATCACACAAACACTACTTGAGCGGTATCTAAAGAGGTTTTACCAGTTTGTTTATTACTGACCTGTGTAAGGTGTCATGCACTGATGTCCACATCCATTTGAGCAGCACTTCTCATTTTGGGGGCAATCACTGTCATTAGAGCAAAATTCAGCACACAGCCCGGCGCCCCATTGCCTGCGAGGACACACTCCTGGCTTAGCTGAAGGGAAAAGAGAAAATCATATAAACAAAGAGGGCTAAGAGAAAACTCTGGAAAACATCAGCTTTTGATTTGAAGGACTCTTTTGAGTTCCACGTCAGTTCAGTCACTGAGAAGATTTAAGCAACAGCTGCACACTTAAGAAAAAGTCAAACACTGTGGCTCCTACTGAAAGCAGGTGGGACACAGACAGCTCCACAGTCAAAGACACAGCATTTGTGATCTGCAGGACAGTCTTCATCACACACACACCCCTTATGTGATGGGACAACATTAAGGAGACGTGGGCAGTGGCCTGGCTTTGGAAGGATCACTGAGAGAAAGAGGCAGTGAAGCAGAGAAGGAGACAGTTCAAGCTGTGATAACTAGGATAGCTAACAAAGGTTTTCTAGAATGAAAAAAAACATGCACTTTTTTCATAAATAAAAGGCAAATTGGCAGATTACTGTTACTATTAGGCTACCATCTCAGTCAAAACAAACGTACCTGTTAAATTGCCAGCTTCCGCAGCAAATACTATGTTAAAGTGCAGAAATGCACTGAGTGTAAAAATCAGAGCACAAACTGCCGACCAGTGCTTCTCCATGTTCACTCCTTGCACACAAGACTGTACTCCAGTTTGGACAAATACCCCAGGACACAAACTGCAGGCTGAGCAGCCCAGTCAGAGGATGCTGGGTCCTTGTGCCTGTTGAGTTACATTCTCACCGCTGCACTTCGGGGATCCTGATCTTTTTGATGGGATGATGGGGTGTGACAGCAGACACACTTTTCCCAAAGTGTGCTCAATGATTGTGTTGTGACAAGGTTATGAAAATATCAGTTGTAGATTTTATTGATCAGGTTTCTTTACCTCAGTGCTGCTGTTCATTTTCTTTTACGGTAACGTATCTGAGGTTACAGAACAAACCAGGTCATGTACATGTTTCCTTTCTCTTCGGAAAGGCAAGGGTTGCACCTCTTAAAACCGTAAACACCCCTCGTATGGAACTCAGTGCTTCTGTTTTGGCTGTAGAATCAGAGTTACAGCTTTCTTTGCCAGGATCCTGTTTCTGGACTGATAGTAGCACAGTCTTGAAGTACATCAGCAATGTAAACAAAAGATTTCAAACATTTGTGGCCAACAGAATAGCTGTCATAAGGGAAGCTTCAGACCCAGCACAGTGGCGCTGTGTTCACACATCGCAAAATGCAGCAGATGATGCATCTAGAAGACTGACAGTCCAGAAGCTTCTGAACAGCAAGACGTGGTTATCAGTTCCAGAGGTCCTGTGGAAGGCAAGAGAAACATGGATACAGAGTCCACAGTGGAAGAGGATGATCCAGAGGTCAAACAGAGATCTCTACAAACACAATAACTATTGAAGAGGATAGTGCAATTGATCGACTCATCACATATTACTCTGATTGGAAAAGGTTGAAGGTTGCAGTTGCATGGTTACTCAAGGTCAAGAAGGCTCTATTGGAGATGAGTCAAAGCAGTAAGCAACTTGTGATGTTTGCAACAGCTGATCTTCGTTATGTTGACAAGTAAATGTTGGAAGCCAGAAATTGTTGGGACGAGAAAATGTATCAACTGAGGATCTATTAGCAGCAGAAAACGCTATCATTCAGTTCTGTGTAATTATGTGGACTGACTTCAGTTAAATTTATTGTTGAAGAAATGTTTATTTTTTCGTTATGTTAATTAATGGGTTGGCATATCCCACTTTAAGTTCAAACTTTTGAACGTTTATTATTTTGCCTTATTTTATTATTTTAAGTCACAAGGAAACAGCACGCATGCGAAACAACTAAAATGTGCGCCAACACCATGACCATCATGATAGCAGTACTCCGCACACATGGGGGTCCCTGTGGGCAGAGCACAGCGGATCCGCTTCACTGACACACCAAACGCAAAAACACACTCAGTTGTAGAGGTACGATAACAAAGAAAATGTCAAATGGTTATACAAACACTATTGGAGTGGTATTTGAGGGATTTTACCACTTTGTTTATAACTGACCTGTGTACAGTGCCATGCACTGATGTCCACATCCATTTGAGCAGCACTTTTCATTTTTGGGGCAGTCACTGTCATTAGAGCAAAGTTCAACACACAGCCGGAAGCCCCGTTGCTTGGGAGGACACACTCCTGGCTTAGCTAAATGGAAAAGAGAAATTCATATAAACAAAGATGGCTAAAAGAAAACTCTGGAAAACATCATTGGAACATTGGGACGAGAAAATGTATCAGCTGAGGATCTATTAGCAGCAGAAAACGCTATCATTCAGTTCTGTCAGAGGGAAAGATTTGACAATGAGATTTGTGCACTAAGGACAGGGAAACTTGTAAAAAGGAGTAGCCCTGTCTACTAACTGAATCTTGTTCTAGAAGATGGATGGTTAAGAGTAGGTGGAAGATTGTCCAGGACTGCAATGCCCGAAGAGAGCAAACACCCAGTGATCCTGTGTAAAGATCAGCACATTTCCATGTTATTTCTTAAAAATGTTCATGAACAGATGAGGCATGGCGGGAGAAATTACATCCTCTCCAAATTGAGAGAAAAATACTGAATCAGTCATGCCATTGCAGCAGCAAGGAACATCTTGTGAAGTTGTGCTTTTTGCAAGTGTCACAAAGGAAAAATGTGTAATCAAAAAATGGCTGATCTCCAGAAAGAAAGAATTACTCCAGACTTGCCTCACTTCACTAATATGGGAGTGGATCAGTTTTGGACCCATTGAGGTAAAACAAGGACGTTCTTATGTGAAACGTTATGGGGTTATCAAAAAAAAACAACAAAAAAAAACACATTATTTACATGCATGGCCAGCAGAGCAGTTCATTTAGAAGTGGACGCACACTCATTGGACACATACTCTTGCATCACTCGTTGATTCATATGCCGAAGAGGACGTGTGGCACACTTTCACTCAGACAATAGCACAAATTTCACAGTAGCAGAGAAGGTAGTTGAACAACGGATAAATTGAGAAAACTTTAATACATGACAACATCAAGGGGACTTTCAACCCACCTTCAGCTTCACCTGTGTAAGGTGTCATGCACTGATGTCCACATCCATTTGAGCAGCACTTCTCATTTTTGGGGCAGTCACTGTCATTAGAGCAAAATTCAGCACACAGCCCGAGGTCCCCTTGCTTGGGAGGACACACTCCTGGCTTAGCTGAAGGGAATAGAGAAAATCATATAAAGAAAGAGGGCTAAAAGAAAACTCTGGAAAACATCAGCTTTTGATTTCAAGAACTCTCTGTCTTGAGTTCCACGTCAGTTCAGTCAATGAGAAGATTTAACCAAAGCTTAAACAGCTGCACACAAAAGTCAAACATTGTGACTCGTACTGAGAGCAGGTGGGACACAGACAGCTCCACAGTCAAAGACACAGCATTTGTGATCTGCAGGACAGTCTTCATCACACACACACCCCTTATGTGATGGGACAACATTAAGGTGGGCAGCTTTGGAAGAATCTCTGAATCTCAATCATAAATCAAAAGTAAATTGGCAGATTACTGTTAATATTAGGCTACCATCTCAGTCAAAACAAACGTACCTGTTAAATTGCCAGCTTCTGCAGCAAATACTATGTTAAAGTGCAGAAATGCACCGAGTGTAAAAATCAGAGCACAAACTGCCGACCAGTGCTTCTCCATGTTCACTTCTTGCGCACAAGATTGTACTCCACTTTGGACAAATACCCCAGGACACAACCTGCAGGCTGAGCAGCCCAGTCAGAGGATGCTGGGTCCTTGTGCCTGTTGAGTTACATTCTCACCTCTGCACTTCGGGGATCCTGATCTTTTTGATGGGATGGGGTGTGACAGCAGACCACTTTTCCCAATGTGTGGTTGATGATTGGGATGTGACAAGGTTATGAAAACATCAGTTGTAGATTTTATTGATCAGGTTTCTTTACCTCAGTGCTGCTGTTCATTTTCTTTTAAGTTTATAAGTGTGCTGCATATTCTGTTGTTTCTGTCTGTGTTGCCTTTATTCCTTGTGTTGTGGTTTAGGTTGTCTTTTTTATGCAAAATATCCCTTGAACTCAAACCTTTATTAGAGGCTTTTGTACAGTATGCAACAATCAAAGATCGTTCCCAAAGAACCTTGTATAGTAATTAACAAGGGAGATTCATTGTATCTTCTTATTTTCCAAAAATCCCCCACACAGTATGGAACGTTTTCAGTTTGACCCTGTATTGCCATCTATTGGCATAATCAGGAGTTACATGTAAGCTTTGAAATGGAAGGTGATTTAGTTACATCCTCGCTGATACTCAGTTGTGGATGAAGTATTCAGATCCTTTATTTAAGAAAAAGCAGTAATACCTCCCTGTAAAAATCCTTTGGTACAAGCATTGCAAAGTACTGCATTGAAAATGTTACTTAGCCTAAGTAAAAGTATGTTTAATCAGGAAAATGTATCAAAAGTATTGAAAGTAAAAGTACTCAATGCAGAAAAATGTCCCCTGAGACTGTTATACTAGTATATATTACATCATGAGATTATTGTTACTCATGCATTAATGTAAAAGCAGCATTTTATTGCTGTAGTTGGAGCTCATTTTGAACTATTTTGTATCGGACTGCAACAAATAATTATTTTCATTATGAATTCATCTGCCAATTATTTTCTCCATTAATTGATTGATTGTTTGTAAAAAAAACAAACAACAGTCCAAACCTCAACAGTTTTTCTGCCAACTGTCTGTTGGGTAGTTAAAAAAATATATTTTATAAACTCTTAGCTCATAGCTGTTATTCAAATGTAGTCAAGTAAAAATTACAATATTTCCCTTGGATGTTGTGGACTAGAAGTAGAAAGTGGCATGAAAAGATAAAATTTAAGTAAAGTACATGTACCTACCTCAAATGGACTTAGTTACTGTCCACCACTGCTGACACTTAAGGTTGCACAATAAAAACACTATCAGTGTCGTAATTATGTTCTTACCAAGACAAAACAACACTTTCACTGCTCATATTCATCATGTGTTTTACAGTTATTCAATCCTATTTTGAAATTATGCCCCTTTTTCTTGAAACTCTAAAAACAAATCCACAACTTCTCACCCAAGACCCCAAACAACCTATTTTCAGGTCAAAATGAAGCTCTCCACTAAAAACCATTCAATGTTGCTGAAAAACCAAACTTTGCCCTCAGACATGACACACAAGCCCTCAAAAACACACACACTACAACACAGTCTTACACATTGGTGAGATAAATTCAAAACACTACAAAAACTGATTATTAGTAATGTCACGTGTGGCCTCAAACCTTTTCACATGATGAACACAAAAGAAATAATGTAAACATGTCCTGCCTTTGGTCTGGGACAGGCCAGAGATTCTCATCCTCCACCTCCTTCTCCTCCTATACTGTTCCTCTTCCTTCATGTCTTCCTCCTCTTCCTCCTTCTCCTCTCTGGTGTCCTCTACCTCTTCCTTCACATTTCTCTGCATCCATTGTTCCAAAACTGAATGAAGTGACTCCGGCCCTTTTATCTATTGAAGTTTCTGATTGGTGTGTTATCAATTTTGACTGTGTTTCCACCTGGGTAGCTGTGTACTAATTGAGCCAAAGCTGTGCTGACTTGAGTGAACAGTATTGAATGTCAGTGGTTTCTGAATGACCACATGGTGCAGGCAATGAGAAATGAAGGGATTTGTGTGTAGAGTTTAGGAAAATGGGTGGGCTTTTTGAAAAATTTTATTTCAAAAAGCCTGCTTATAGAGTTCAAGCAATTGGGAAAAACTGTAATAAGTCAGGTTTAACTGTGGTGTTTATTTTCACACTGCTTGTCTAGATTTTTTTTTTTACTCTTTGCCATGAATATCAAGGACAGGCAACTCGAATGGTTCCTTTAAAGTTAGCATCACTTTCGACAAGACAGGTTTTTAGGGACGAGATAGGCAGACACTCCATTCAGGTTAATGTGCAATTAAACTATGGCTCTTTCCAAGTGAAGACAAAATATGCTTGCCATTTTGAAAGGACGAAGATGTTTACACACTTATGAAAAGAGTGTTTCTTTCATTCCCTTCAAACTAAAAATGTAAAGGGTACAGAAGCTTTCATAAGATGTCTACACCGTCCTCATAAATCAGCTTTGAAGGCTTAGGGTTATTGTTCCCAGGACTTCAGCAGTTTTACACACTGTCTTTTCTTTTGTCCTTATCCATACATGTACTGGTCAGTAAAATAATCATCACCTTTATCAGTTGTCACTGTTCTCAAACTGAACAGTAGCTTCTGTCTCTGCTTGTTGTGCCTTCTTCTGCCTGCTCTAGATGAAATCTGACTCCTGTCCTTAAGAGCATGAAAAACAACACTGTCTCCATAAGTCATGATAATTATAGTCTGCACAATTACATTTTGTTTCCTTAAGGGACAGCACGCAGCTTTGCATGTATCTGATGTAAGAGGAGTCTGGCTGAGCTCCCTATGCTGTGAGACTGGACTGTCTATCTGATTCTGTCCCCCGATCCTGATAAGGTGGTGCCAGTGCATGCAGTCTTCTCTGCTGTGTCAAGGTGAGCCAGCCAAAAACACAATATGTCAGCATTTGTGGGTTAAGCCTTCAGGTTAAAGCAACAGATTCATGAACCACTTTTCTATTAGTAAAAAAAATAGTTCCAATGAAAACTGTTCACAATGCTGTCGTGGATTATTCTGAAGAAGTAGGGACAGTGGTAGAAGAAGGATCCTTTCTGTTACTTAAAAAGTCTAAATCTTACCAAAGTAAAAGTAGAAAGGTATTCTCACCAAATGTAGCTATAATTTAAACTACTTGCAAAACCTTTGGTAAGTATTTATGGCTGTAAATAAAAGTAGAACACAAACAGTACACGTATAAAATAGCAGGAAATTGAATTACTTAAGGATAGTACATGCGTTTCAAAATTTGAATTGAGCAAACCATAAAAACATTTTTATGTGACCGTAAAGGTGGTCATCTTTCAACCCATTAGCAGCCATGCACTGTCTCTGTAATGTCTTTTTAGATTGTAATGAGAACAACAAAGTGATCTACTGGAGATGCAATACCACTCATAACCCCTGGGTGGGTGTCTCCACTTGAAGATCTCACGAGTCTAATTATGCATCTTTTTTTCAAAGATCTTAACACAAATCCACAACTTCTCACCCAATTCCCCAAATATGCTATTTTCAGGTCAAAATGAAGCTCTCCACTCAAAACCATTCAATCTTGCTGAAAAAACAGGCTTTGCCCTCAGATATGACATGCAAGACAAAAACTGAATACTACAAAAACTGGTTATTACTTATGTTGCTTGTGATTCTCCCCCTCAAAAATCTTTTCACATGATGAACACAAAAGAAATAACAAATGTAAACATTTGCACATTTTTATTCCTTAGTGTGCTGTACAACACAACACACCAAACAACAAATTATTCTGCCCCAGCGTCCTGCCTTTGGTCTGGGACAGGCCAGAGATTCTCGTTCTCCACCTCGTTCTCCACCTCCTCCTCCTCCTCCGTTTACCTCCTCCACCTTTTTCTTCACCTCCTTCTCCCTCCTCCTGCTCTTCATCTTCCTCCTATCCCATCTCCTCCTCCAACTCCTACTGTTCCTCTTGCTTCACCTCTTATTCCGCTTCAAACTGCTCGTCCTTGTCCTCCTACTCCTTCTCCTCTCTGGTGTCCTCTACCTCTTCCTTCACAATTCTCTGCATCCATTGTTCCTAAACTAAATGAATTGACTCTGGCCCTTTTATCCATTGAAGGTTCTGATTGGTGTGTTATCAATTATGACTCCTTTCTGCTTGGGTAGCTGTGGGCTAATTGAGCTCACCCTGTGCTGACTTGAGTGAACAATATTGCATGTTAGTGCTTTCTGAATGACCCCATCGTGCCGACAATGAGAAATGAAGGGATTTCTGTGTAGAGTTTTGAAATGGGTGGGCTTTTTGAAAAATGGAGTTGTGGTTTTGAAATTTTAGTTCAAAAGCCTGCTTATAGTGTTTAAGCAATTGAGAAAAACTGTAATCTTCCTCCAACCTATTACTCAAGTCAAATAAGTTCTCTAATGAAACATGATTACAGCTGAACAGAAATAACTTCCTAACCTTAGATTTGGTTCAGCATTACTGTCATTATACAGTATGAATGTTTAAGTCAAAATGGTCAATTCGGATATATATATTGATGAAAATCTGATCCTTTTTTGTGAAATGTGTCTTTTTAGTGTCTCTTAGATGTTGCAATGTAGTGTAACTAAATGTATTCTGTCTGGCTTTGATTTGATTGACAGCTATCCCCCCAAACTCTTAAACAAGGAGAATCCAGTGGCTTATTATACAGGGTGCAGTGAGCAATGAGGAGTAATTTTACCCCCAGGAGTGAAGAGGCCATGCAATTTACATGTCCAACCTCATTGCCTATAGCAAGATCAGTAGCCAATGGGATCTTGCTTTTTAAGATCTAATATATGTTGTAATTCTGATCTACTTTCACACACTATATGACATATCTGTCACTTGCAAGGGTGCCGATGTGTTTGCATATACAGGTACACTCAGAACACATACAAGGTTATAGTCTTTTCATAATTTGCTGCTGTTTCTAAATATTTTATGTTATTCTCACCACACCAAACCTTAGAAACACATCGGTTCTGCACCTACCCCTCCGTTTCAATCCCCCCCCCCTTGTCCTTGGGAATTCAATCCT